CCCCCCGCCCCCCCTCTCTCTCCACCCACGTCTGACAGCTGCGGGAGCTGGGAGTTCACCCTCCACCCGGACCGGGAGGAGGATCCCCAGACCGTGCCCCGGGGGCTCTGGGCCGCCTTTGGTGAAACCCACACGGGGCTGCGGAAACGGAACGCGCTCGCTGGCGGCTGGTGAGCCCAAGGCGGGAGTCGGCTTCCCTCCTTTCTTCGCCTCTCCCCCTGCCCCGCACCCCACCCCGTAAAAATCCCGGTGGCAAGTGTAATCAAATGCTTGATACTATCTCCCACACTCGCCCTGCACTGGGGCATTATCAGATCCGGGAAGGCATGCTTCCAGGCAAATAGACCTAATCAACGCTATTACTGGGATCTGCAAGACCCGGCTGCGCCACAGTAACGACAGCCCGGCTAATTTGGTCTAAGAAAACGATCAACTGCACAGAGCGTGTGAGCGAGCGTGGAGCCTGTATCTCTCCTCCCCACGCCGCCTCTCTTTCACACCAGCTCAAGAAGGCCCCATGTGATAATTCCCCAAATCGAAGGGGAAAAAACTCTGCCGCCAAAGCACATCCTGTGCCTCATTGTCCAGCCCAGCGATTTTAAAGAGACAGGATCCATTTCCCAGGGCCCGGCCCCCCTCCTCTACAACGCACGCTGCAAAGCCGCCTCTGGATGCGAGTTTATTTCCAAGCCTTTTTACCTCCTGAAGGGCCCCTCGGTGGCACAACCAGCTGGAATCACGACTTAGTGACACTAAGGGGTCACCTTTTGACCCCAGATACAATCGTGGTTTGAGCAAAAGACCTGAGCCCTCCGGCGTGCACCGCAGGGCGGGCGACCACAGCTCTCCTACCACTGCGTAAATCAGGGGTCCCCAGCGGCAGCCCCGGGGTCCCTGCTAAACGCGGCGGCTTCCCATGACTGAACTTCCGGAATATGACACCCTAGGGAAAAGCTCCGGGGGTCAAGCTGATGGAGGTGTGAGAACCCCGCGAGCCTTCCGACCCCTCCGTGCCACTCACCACCGCCGCCCCCGCCCGAGAGGTCGTAAGTGGGTAGGCGGAGCGCTAGCGCCGGGGAGGGCGGCGTTCCTCCCGCCCGCCGCCAGGCGCTCGGCAGCTGCGGCGAGCAGGCGGCTGCTTTCTCCAGGGCCCGGCCGCCTGGGGGGCGACGGCATCTTCTAGTCCTCCTGGCGCCCCCTCCTCGCGGGTGGCCGCGTGCGCGCAGGCCTGGGGCGGGCGCTGGGGCTGCTGACCTGGAGGAAG